TTCTTTTGTGTTGTCTAGTAGCTGTGTAGATCTAGCCTGAGGGTTGCTAGAAGAGTTCATGTTGCTGAGGGTTACTAGAACATCTTAGGGAACCGAATCTAGCGTTCAATTAGCAAGATTTATCAACTCTTTCATCAATATTGAGTTTATTCTTTTTTATATTATTTTCATATTTGAATAGAAATGAAAGATACTTACACTGCACGTATTTGCAGATCATATATACCACCTAATGGTCAAGGTAATTTTCAGTAGTATATCATGAATGTTTCTTTTACTTTGAGTTAGTTAGTCAGTAACAATGTACAACTTTCTACGTACGTACATCAGTTCGAGTTGCCATACCAACCACATTAGCACAGAGATTCAGTTGTCAATTCAAATCCCGTAGTGATAGAGGTAGGAAGAGTATGAGCAGTAATCGGAAACATTAGAGCTTCAAGATGTCATGCGGGATTCGAACACAGGTTCTACTGGTTTGGCGCGCGAGCACTTAACAACTAGACCACTGAGCCGGCATTCAACGGTGGTAATATCTAACTTCAACTAATGCACGAAATTGAGCGGGATCGTGGATGCGCACTGCTGAGGAGTCTCACAAAAAGATGAAACGGTCGTCCAGTGCTCCCAGATTTTCCAGGGTGGTCTAGCTTTAATTGACTCATGATCTCAACAATTGAAATTACTATAAATAGATCCTTGCCGTTACCAAACATTCACTCTTTGTTCGGATATAATAATAATAATAATAATAATAATAATAAATAGATTTGTACAATCGGATTTCATTGAATCCATTCGGTTCATTGTCAATAGGAATGGGATCTTTGAAATAAAATAGAATGATTCACAGAATACTTTCTTGTTTTGTTTTTGTTTTTGTTTTCTAGATATTGTCAATGAATTTAATAAAATTATACCTGACATGGAAATGAATATTCGTCATTACAATTTCCATTTATGTAAGTAAAATTTGTAGATTTATAAATATAATCTAACCAGGTTAGTAGATAGTAGTGAAATCCAGGACACTGGTTTCGTCCTATTTGATAATCATCAGCTGGATGTATCTGTAAATCAAAGTTGATGTTTACTCTGGGACTGGAACTCAGCTGACGAGTCCCAAATAGGACGAAACGCGGGTACAGGATTTCTTGTCGACCACCTCCAACCAATATTCTATCATCGAGTATCATTATACCAAAACTAAATGAACTTCAAAAAGTTCATCAGAAGAAGAATATCCTTCTACGTCCTATACTTGATATGATCAACTCTCCGTCTCACTTGATCACTACATCGTTAACTGATATTTTACAACCCGATCAAAATCATATCAATAGATACAACACTCTTGATTCATTTGATTTTGTCAACTCAATTAGTAACATCAATATAAATAGTAGGAAAATGATCTCAATGGATGGTACTTCTCTCTTAACAAATGTTATTCTTACAGACAGTATATATGTCTTTTATGTAACTATACTGTAATTTACAACTTTGATATTTGGATCCCAAAACATTATCTCAAAGAGATTCTTCTTCTTCTTCTTCTTCTAACATGTACTCTCAGTATGCAATTGCGATTTATGAATGAGTTCTGTAGATAAACTGGATAGAGTTGCAATAGGTTCACCATTGAGTCCACTCTTCCATGATTATTTCATAAGCAATCTCGAAGATACGGTACTTTGATCAATAATTGAGAATTTTCTATTGATGACGAAGAATACATGGACTTCATTGCTTAATCTAATCTACACCGAAAGCCGACTCCATAAAGCCATACAGTTTAATTCAATGATAACATTCAGAAATGTAACTGCTACCACATTTTCATCATGTTCTTATGGTGGTTCCATCATTGATGACAGATATAAATAGGCATACTGAGATAGTCTAATCCGTATTATATTCTTACAATTACACAACATATTAGGCTCCATTTGGAAATCACTTTTAATGTGAAGTAATTTGCTATTTTCTTTGTTTACAGTTAAATATCGGTTGCTCTTGGATATTGCCAATGAAATGAAGAAACCAAAGTAAACAGTTGAGTGACCCATATTTTCCCCCATTATACTCATGAATATATGTCATATTGTAGTGAATGGTAGTGAACATCAAGTGAGGACAATCGAATGTATTTGAATAGTTAAATTACAGTAACACTGAATAGAATCTGAGAACCACCATATAGTGAATAGTTCATTCCACAATATGTCAATCAATCGTCTCAGACTTCACTGGTACTTCGTTTCCACCATCAATCATTCACTGTTCTCATTCTCCTTTCTTTGGTTGATCTTCTTAACTGTTTCTCTATCACCAGACATTTCACTTTCGATTGATGATGATGATGATGATGATACATACTACTTACTTATATCTGTCGACATCAGTAGCACACACCATAATTTGAATGAACAAGTATCGCTTTACGTTACATTCAGATGACTATGAATAACTTCAAGTATAAGTGTTTTGTAGGTGTATAACATTCAGAACACTTTGAAACATTCCATATAAGATACTCATTGAAATACATAATCATTGACTTAAATGATCAATAATCATCTGATTGTTTCATTCATTTCAACAACATATCTCTTCATCATTGAGTAAATGTATGTTAAACCTCTTAATGGTATGTTTATGAAATGTAACAGTGAACACGTTGTATATGATGATTACTCTTCTAAATGAACATTAGATTCGCTTGCTAAACTCTTCTAGTAATCCCCAGGCTAAATCTACACACTGACTTGAACATGAGAGAAATGGCGTGAAATATGGAAGAAACAGTTTACTCCAAATGTTCGTTTATGTACAGAATATGTAGAGTATGTATAGTAATTTAGATGACCTCGGGATTCCGGAACACTGCTGAACATAGTAGCAGGATGTGTGATCCCCCAATCAGAAATGGGACATGTGACTCTTCAGTTTCTAGATGTTTCTAGCAAACCGTCTATGGGATGCTGATTGGATAAGATGCTTCTCAGTATTGTCAGAGTCTTCTATGGCTTTATTTCGAGGTGTTTTCTGGATCGCCTCACACAGTATAGAATCCGTAACGCTGTTTTATTTATTTCCTTTTCAGATAATACACAGAAGAAATGAAATGAAACTTCAGTATTACTGATCAGTATTACTCACATTCTTCAATCATCTGATTATACTTTTTTGTTGTTGTTATAAATAATCAATTTAATGTAAAACTACAAAAATAATCTGTTCATTTTAAATCAATAAACAAACAATGCTCACAACTATTTGGATCTATGTCTTTTCATTCTAAACGAATGGTACATATGGTCTCCATTATCTTGAATGAACAAATGGCATATGAACCTATTGTTGGTCACCGGCTATCATGGAACTGCATCTCGTTACGATGCTCTACTGCGTTTTGGATCAGGCCTATAGGTCAAATGGTTGATGCGTGGCCTCCTGAGAAAACCGCCTGCTTCGGTTTAGGCATCAGAGCATTATCCCAGCCCTTACATAGACCAAATGATTTGTGTGTCGCGTATGTATTCGTCTCCTCCTTGTACCAATATACATGCACTCAGAGTCTTCAACCATTGGTTACCATAGTCACACAGACCTCAACCATGTAGTCTGCATCTACTGACATGGCTAAGACTAGGGATAAAATGCTTAAACTTGATGATTATCGCATACACTGTTAACAAAATTTCAATATTCAAACCGAGTTTCAAGTCGTCACTCTTCTCCACATCCCATCGTGATTAAGACTGAATTAAAAATTCCATCAAAACATCAATTTAAATTTGTTCGCACAAGCTACAACACTGTTGAATAGATTTTTAGTAAACAGAGATCTGACTCCATTTAGATCGTATTAATGGTTGTCATTGAAATATACATGTCGCTAATCCTTGTATATATTCATCGACTTAAATCGAGTCGGTGAATAACGTGATTAAATAAGTCAAATACGAGAATGGATTTTGAATACGTATATGTTAACAACGTCCGCCTGGAGCCCCTCTATGGCTACTGCCGGTCACAAACTCAGGTAAAGGAGGGGGGATTGGCCATGGGGTTAGTGACCCCATCCCGTAGCAATCTAACTCCCTAAAAAAAAACACTAACCAGAAAAAATTATTCAAAATGTGGTTTTGGTAGAACGAATAAATTGGCCTGTCTGGAAGCTCGAATAAGCTATGTGGGCTTAATATAGCAACCGACATTACAGATTTCAATTAGAATAGTAACAAAACACCCCATTCATTCAAATGTTACTAAGGGAAATCTGACCGAAGCTACACATTGTTACATAAAGTCACAAATTACCTTGTACTTAATAAGCAAAATTACAGAAGATGATTTCATTTCCATTTACACATTTTTAATCTATCCTCTTGACATCAAGTTCCTATTTTATCGTCTACACCTTCTTTCGAATCTACCTGCAGACCAGCAAAGTCTTTTACGGTAGATACTCATTGGATATGCGTAATACATGTTTCAACACGTCAGTTCCTGAAGATCTGCTACTTCATCAACCATTTCGTATTTTTGAATAGTAACCCCAACGCGACTAAACTGATGGTTACAATATACACGACTAATCCTTCAAAGACATTTATGATCAAATACTAGTTCCATATATATTACAGTCAGAAATTAAGACAGAATGAAGTGCTTGCAATGTCGTTTATCACATATTGACAGATCCAATCATGAAACAAAATAACACTGATCAATGTGTGCTTTTGACTGATTTAACACAGCTCACTGTTTAATAGAATAGAAGACAAGTTATTCACAAAAATTGCTTACGATTGTACAACACTGTCAACGTCCAACCATAAAATACTGTCAATTCATATACTACAACTCTTCTCGTTTGAAAATGTAACTACTTATAGCTAGTAAGTAGTAAGAATAACAAATTAACATATATGATACAATTGTAAGCTAAACGATGAAATATGCTAGAATTCATGATGAAAAACATGTCAACTTCACCAACCTGGAACATACTCCATCACAATCATAATTGGATAAGATTGAACTGCAATACCAACTAATTTGACAATATTTGGATGATTGAAATTTAAAGCAGTTGTTTCACCTTGGAGAAATTTCCTACGTAAATCTGATGCTGTCATATCGACACGACAAGTTTTCACTGCAACTTCATTTCCATTATATACACCACGGTAAACATCACCAAAGTTACCCTGTGAAAAGAGAGATGCAGAATAGAATAAATAGTACACTTTACCACATCAATACAGAAAGTACAAACGACTGACAGTTGTCGATTATTCCTTCGGACCCATTCATCTATGTATTAGAAAAGCGATTGGAACCAGGTGTTTCCTTTGTTGTAGCATGACCAAGAATTATCATCTGTCATTAGAGACATTCTAACAAGATCGACAGTTGTGTATCATTTTCACAGTTAGGTTATAGAATTCTTCCATTCCACGATGAGATAATTTGAAAATAAACAAACAACCCCAATGCTTAATTCAGATCGCCAACATGAAGACAAATCCTGTCTCCAAATTTAAAACACAGAAATAAGGCGTCATGGTAGACGGCAGATAGACGTATCTAGAACATATGCCAATAAACCTAATCGATGAAAATTCACATTCTGAGATTGATTTGGCACTGCAACACAATAACTTAGGCATAATGAATGGTAACTTTGCGATTCATATCGCAGAGGCTAAGATTGGTGTTCTGGACTTAACTGGCTGGGCTAGGCGAGGCGGGAATCAGGACCAACAAGGACTCTAGGCTGCTCGCACGTGTTTTACGCATCCTCGGTTCGATCGATAATTCACTGCTCTCTGATTGGCGGTGTTATTACGTTATCCAGTGACAGGGAACTCATTTCACAACTTATAACAATAATATAAAGACATTACAAAATAATAAACATAAGAATGATACTACTCATAAATCGGTTAATAATTCGTGAGTTCCAATGTCTTAAAAAACATACTTGACCAATTTTTTGTAGTAGTTGTACATCACGATTGTCTAGTTCCCAATCAGGTCTTGAAATTGGTGTAATAAGACATGCTCCTGATTTTGCTGTCACGGGAGTTTGAGTTTTCATATGATATTCAATCAGTTCCCTGGAAAATTTTAGTTATTAAACAAACAGCAAGTGTGAATATTCAAGGGAAATTTCAGAGCAGATAATAAACATTCGAAATTATATTCTATTGATTGAGTCCTTGCTAATTACACGGAGAATGTCAAAAATAAATACTGATAGATCCTGGGTTCGAATCCCATGAGCGGAATCCTGGATGCATAATGCTGAAGTGCATATAAATTACCTTTTAATTTACATTAGTTAATTCAATTCAACAATGAAAATTAACTTTAAAACATAACTAAGTTTATCAATTATTGAATGAGTTGATGTTAGATATTGACACCGTTGGATGCCAGATCTTTAGTCTAGAGGTTAAGCGTTCACACACCAGAGTTAAGACCCCGGGTTTGAATTCCGCCTGCTGGAACTTGGATACATATTGCTGGGAAGTTCAAAATGGTGGTCTAATATCAATCAGTTGATGATCTCAATCAGAAACATAGTAGTCTTCGCAACCCTATACTGTTAATTACCATGTGTTCACTAGTGACTCGCTTCGTGAAGCGATTCTCTGAATTGCATTAGGAAACCGTGACCAATGGAGCTAATCCGTGTAGGGTAGAGAAAGATATCTAACCCAGTAAATGGATGATGGTCGCGCAATTTCGTGGATTAGTCGAGGTCAGACATTATTACCGTTGGATCCAATGGTTTAGGCGTTTGCGCGCGAGAATAAGGGCACCGGGTTCAAATCCCGCGTGCAGGTCCGTGGATGTTCACTTCTGAACAGTCTCACATTAAGACAAAACGACCATCCAGTGTTCCCAGGTTTATTCAATAGTGATCTAACATCGATCGATTTATGATCTCAATTAAAAATATTTGAAATCAAATGATTCATTCAGAAGAAATATTTAAAGAATATTGTGTTTATCGTAAGAAATAAAAGTTCACAGTTCCAATACTTATGCAATATGTAACATAAATTTACATGATACAAATCACCATGAAATCCAGTTCCTGGTAATCCAAGCCAATCAGACTTTCATACAAATATAATTCATCAGTTTTTCTTAAACATACATATATATATATATATATATATGTATGTCATCCTATAAATGTGGTGTCCTAATTTAAGTATTTTCATCATTCTATTGTGGTATATGCTACTTATATTGACAGATATAAGTAGTATATAACACCGATGAGAAGTGGAATACCTGTGAAAAGAACAATAAAATGATTAAAATGAAGAAAACTAGAATGTAAACAGAACTGAAAGAGAAACACAAATGTTCAATATTTATTTCCCGTATTGTCTTGTGTTACGGCACAATGCCACTACACATTCATTTATCTATATTTCAAATTTGTGTTTACTAATAGCCTTAAGTCATTCACCCATTTTTAAAGTGTTCAATGGTGAAACCATAACTTATAGATGACTTTTGACGGAATCTCAAGTGATCTTGAGATATATTAGTCAGTGAGAAAACAGTAAGTATAAAGTAAAAATATAGTAGACAAAGCTAGAGAATGAAAGTGGATACACTCCTTATACATCGTTCAAAATCTTGTAAAGGTTAGAATGAGGTTCAGAGATTCTACAGTCGTAATAGATACAGTAGAGGAACTCATCCATATGGCTCCATTATAGTTGGTCTCTGGAGCCATGATAAGATAGCAAAAACTGTTTCAGACTCGACCAAAAAGCTTCAATATTGTTTGTGTACACTCTGGTTGTTTGGTCCACAAAATGCCTCTTATTGACAACGACACCATGCACATGACCAAGTCTATGTAGGCATCTGTACACTCTACAATCATCCGTATATATTGTGGTATCCGGGTGCAGCGAGTGTTGTTGGAGCTATTATTATTATTAATATTATTATTATTATTATCCAATTCGCAACAATAATCATAATTTGTCTTGATCTCAATCCGGATTGAGTGAAAAATCTTCCTATTCTAACAGACTTCTTCCTCCAAGAGCGAAAGACAACTTCATCACGGTAGTCTGCACAAGGTCCAGTACTCATCTGATTACCACAATCATAAGTAAAGGAACTTCTTAATAATCCTATTTATTGTAACCGCTCGATCATTCATGAGCATCGAATACTGAAATTGGCGTCGTTATAGCCACCTGCTTGTGCAATGAGGTGAAATATATATTCACATTGTGCTGTCTTACTTGCATGCTTCCCATTGTGATTTAGGACTGGAATTGATCAGCTAGTGGCTATCAGGACTCGGTAGCTAAAAGGATAACGTGATGGCATTTGAAGCGAACGGTAGTGGGTTCGAGTCTCAGGGTGAATATTAACTCTGAGGTGCAGGTTCATCAATGTGACGAGTCCCGAATAGGATGAAGCGCACCTACTGGATTCCACTACCAGCCACTATCCATCTTTGCTTATAGAGCTTGTAACTTAAGGCCAAAAAGAGATTGATCAATTGCAGTCCTAAACAACAATGGGAAGATACAATACTAAATGAATCTGTTTTCAAAATGACCTGTCACTCTTTGCATCTTCAAATAATCTATTTATGATCTTCAATTGGGTGGCTTTTATCACAATAACATTTCTACATTGTAGATACATTTTGATTAACTATCTAACGTCACTAACTCCGCCTGAAGCCCCTCTGAGGCTACTGCCGGTTTCAAGCATGGATGAAAGAGAAGGGTTGGGCATGGGGTTAATGATACCATCCCGTAGAAAGATAACTCGTGAAAATACGCTAACCAGAAACAATTATTCAATCTAACATCACTATCCAATATAAATCTGTCATTCATTATTACCTAACCAATGTAATACATTAGGAAATCATTTGGTAAACACCTTTTGATTAGAACTAATGAATCACAATGGATTACATGTTGAGATGTGATGGTAGTTGGAAGTAGTCGACGGGAAACCTTGAACCTAACCAAAGTTTCACGTTACTTGGCACTCGTCAGTATGGTATAATTGTAATCTAGAGGGCATTTGAGAAACTTGAGAATTGATCCTTCACAATCTTTATACAACATTTTAAAAGTTATATTGATGTCAGTTTTGTGACCCGGTTTCAATTATATGTTCCGTTATCGATGAACATGGTTTTCTACCACGCACATTGATTAGATCATTTGACATTAATTGGTTTTGAAGCCATCTAAGTACATGTTCAATGACCCTTGATTGCATTGTTCGATTACTCCTCCATATGTATGCAAGTCCACTCAAACATGTAAATTGGTAAATACAATTGGATGTGTTGTAATTATTTGTGCATTGTCTAGGTCTATTTGAAATTATCGACCCGTGTTAAGTTTGCTTACATTGTTCCTACTTGTTTCCTTCCCACTCTTTTGTATATTGTTTTGTACTACTTATTTATATTCAGTAAGCAGTCGTATTCCCAACAATTTTTACACTTATGTTGTAACGCAAGTTGCAGTGTATTATTCTCAATTATTCACATATATTTATGACGTTTATTGTACTTATCATTGTATTTATCATTATAATTACTGTCCCTTAATCACTGTAGCGTTTATCCACAGTTTCTTGCATTTGTTTAAACGCAACATTTTCCATATCGTTTTGCTCTTGGTTCGGGTTTCGGTTGTTCATAAACCGTTATCAAATTTAGACACAGCTATCAGCTGTCCTTTGTACTATCGTATGTTATAATTATTCTTTGTGTTACTGTTACAGGAACGCTTTTCATGTCATACTCTAAGGACGCGTTTAAACGCCACAGACACCTCACAAGTTGAGGTTTGTAACTAAATTTTGTGTATTATTCAATAAAGAACCGGTATTGTAGACAAATCGTTGATTTGGAACTTCGGTTTCGCGCGTATCTCAATCAGGTGAACAAGACGATTCAATAGATCTAACAACCAGAGTGTTCAGAGTGTATAAAGAAAATATATCATATTTTTTCAAATCAACTCCGTCTTCTCATTATTCTATCGGTATTTACAATTGATTGATCACTGGGTGATGATCAATGTCATCTGTGTCAACTGTGCATAGGTTCTTGGTAAATTAACCAGACACATTTTTTTGGAATTTACAGAATACTCTGTAGTTCTTTCATTTTACAATGGGTCCTCTCAGTAACGAATGAACAATCATTTACGCAATAACGATTAAACGCATGTTCTTCAAGTCCTGTAGACTGTGAGCTTTCATTAGATCACTTACAACATATCGAACTGTTTCAATTTGTAACTTTTAACTTGTCAAAATACTGCAAACTGATGTATGTTAGTGATGTGAACTACTAATTCTCATTAATCGAATCATCATAGTTTGACATTATAATGATAATCCATGTAATAAACCTGGTTGGAAATTCCTTCCAAAAGCTTAGTAAACTATTCTTTATTTCTGACATTATATGTATTGAGTACTGATGTAGTGAACAAGAACACAGGCAGGAGTCGATCGATTGTATTTGATTACAGGATTACAGATCACCTTACGAATATCTGAGAACCCCATATTTCATTGTTGTTTCGTTTCCTCACCAATCATTCTCTGTCCTCGTTCTCTTTCCTTCGATCCTCTTCACATTCTGCTGTCAGGCATTGAACTTTCCATTGATGATGATGAAGATGATGATACATACTACTTATATCTATCGATATTAGTAGCACATACCACACACCCATTGTATTCAGTGTAAACAATGATCTACAGATGATTTGAAAATAAGCTTGTAATGTACTTGTCAACGAACATGTGTACTATCAAGACATAATTGATTAGATTCAAATAAACAGAATACAATAATCCAGGGAAATGAATTCCTGTTTTTTTTTTTCGTTTTTGTTGTTTCCTCAAAACGACCTACAACACGATGAACCAAATGAAGAGAAAATGAAAAATAAAAAAAAATAGACAAAAACAGACGATGATGTAATCAGATTATGCGATCGATCGATCGATCGATGTATGAATTACATTTTGAGATGTTCACAATATAGTAAATCCATCCATCCATCC